ACTCTCCAGATGGCGTGACTTACTAAAAGTGTAGTGTAGTGCTATAATTTTTCCATACAACTAAATTGACAATAATTTGAAACGATGACAATCAAACTCAACTAAGGAAGCAATGCTTCGTAAAACGGAAATTCTCGTACACAATATATATAAGAAGCGTGGCATTCAGCGTGACTGAAAGATTACAGTTTTATTTTATTGCGGTATAAGCTGAGACGAAATACTGTTCAACGCCAACCGTGCCGCGCCATTGACTTCTTATATACTATGTATATATATATATATTGAAGAAGTAAATTTACCCTCCCCAAGCAATGCAGTTCTCCACTCATTAGATAATAAGAGGCCTTGGACAACAAGTGCCGCTTTTCATTTATCTCCGCGCATTAGGCTATATCGATGATCTGAGATTCCAATGTCTTTGTTCCTATTCCTATCTTTCCCTTTTCTATATATATAACACAACAAAGGCTCCGCGCAATGAGAGATTCTCCCCTTACTCGACAAAATGGTAAAAGATCGTAACAATTTTCGCCAAGAGATTATTGGTTTCGCGGTGGAAAAAAGAATATTAACTGATTTTCATCCATTTATCTATATCACAAACAGTGAAAAGGGAGGGAAGGCGAGAGCTTTTTGTGAAAAATATTCAAAGAATTATTTCTTGGAAGAATATTTTGTTATTGACTCGAAATGATTTAATCTTTTTTTTCTATTACTATTATTTCTTTTTTTTTTTTTTTTATTTTTGAGGCGTGAAAAATGCGATTCTTACTCTGTGTAATACTTTGCTGTACATAGTGGGATATAGAAAGAGAGTTTCTGAGAAAAGTGAATCCGAGTTTATACTTTTGTTCGACTTTTTAATTTCAAAGGAATAAATGTTTATTGTTTTTTTTTTATTGAAAAAAAGGGTTCAATTTATTTTTTATTACTTATTTAATGAAAGAAAGAGTTAAAGATTTTTAATACTTTGATATTAAAAATATTTGTAATACTCTTTCTTTCATTAAGTTGAAAACTTTTTTTCATTTTTGGCTAAGTTTCTGACAATCAAGTGAACGAATATTTGTTTTTCTTATTTTCTTTATTACTTTTTTTTCCTTTTTGATTTGTTAAAAAAAAAATTCTGCTACAAGAAGTTAATGTTTTAACTAAGTAAATGTTTAAATTACATTGTTTTTAATTTCAGTGTAATTCTTTAAATAATATTTAAACAGAAAAAAATTTCGTTCATTCAAACGTTCAAAACTTCAGTCGCTGTTTTTGCAACAAATAAATAATTTATTAATAGGAATATCAATTATTAATTCCAGGGCTCGAAATAGGTCCGTAAATCCCGTAAAAGTCCGTAACTTTGCTTGCGAAGTCCGTAAAAGTCCGTTTTTTTGAAAAAAGGTCCGTAAAGTACGTAAATTATACGATATAATTTGGATAATTTTAGAGAAATTACAAATCATTGCAGAAATTCAATTATTTTCAAAAGTAATAAAATTCTTCGCAAAAATTCAATTATGTTCAAAAATTTTTAAAAATTCTCATCAAAATTTCAATTATATCTTTAGAAATAATTCAATTATTCTTCTCCGAAATTCAATTATTCAATTATTCGTCAAAAGAATGGAGTTTTTTAAAAATTTATAAATAAAATTCTTTATGAGAATTCAATTTTGAAAATTTGAATTTTTCATATTTTTAACTAACAATTCTGTGGAATTAATTTTTTTGAAAAAGTTTATTTGAATTTTTTTAATATTATTTGAAGTTTTTATTTTCTAATATTTATTTAACTGAAGAATTTACGAATAATTGAAAATTCGTAAAATTGAATATTGTAAAGAAATGAATTGATAATAATTTTATTACTCGGTTATTTTATTATAAAACATGAAGAAATCGAGCACTACCGATCGATATCTTCATGTTTTATAGTTATGAAAAATTGAATTTCTAGTTTTAGTAAAATATTTTCTTATTTGAATAGAAATTTTTACATTTTTGTTATAGTAATTGGTTCGTAATTTTTTGTTTTTAGTCCGTAAAGTCCGTATTTTTAAATACTTTCACTGGTTCAAGTCCTGTAATTATAATTCTATTATTATACTAATTATTACTACGAATATTAATAGCAATATTGTCATTGAATAGAAATGCGAAAAATAAATAAATGTAAATAATTAAACAATATTTATAAATCCATAATTAGTATGTATTTAATTAATTATTGAATTTAATAATAAGTGGGCATTTAATTAATAATTAAATTTAATGAGAAATAATTATAACAGTAATTCCCAGGTGATAGTATTTTTCAAATTTTCCCGCACTTATTTACCTCCTAGATGGCGCAGGTGTTGACTATTCTAACGATCCTCACCTTTCTCGATTCGGAACCAAATAATAACAATCTTATAGTCCCTTTTTTCCAAAACGAAACAGTTATTCACAATTTCCTATAAGGTTAATTTCTCGTGAAAAAATGTAATTCAGAAGAAAAGCCATTAGCCTAGAGCTTCTGGAAAATTGATGAAATGAAGTTATGCCTTATATATATATATGTGTGTGTATAAAATTTATATACGGAATTTTTTGCGGATATAAGGAAGAAAATAAAAGATAACATGATTGTGAATCGCTTTCATTGGAAAAAGTGAAGATTATCCTCTCATTCGAATTGCTTGACCATTATATACACATATATATGTATATTCTCAAGGGAACACGCACGCCGTTATATAAGTTATATGCACATTGCACGTTCGCACTGATTCACACTATATTTCTCGAAATGACATTTCAATTGCAGTCCTTATGGAGTACTGCACTTTCGTTACGCCCGACCGCCACTTCGATGCCAATATATACTATTACATACCAATACAACTTTATACACAAATATATATCTGCATGAGACATTGAATTTCAAACTGAAATTTAATGTTGCTAGTGAAAATTGTTATCAGCAATTAAAAAAGGGGAATCTTTTCTGTATTCACCAAACCGTGAAAAGCGGAAGTGAAAATCGTATGTAAAAATTAATAATTTCCAACCTTGAGCTGAGGAAAGTTCATTTGACAGGGAGAATTTTACGTTATTTTTATATGATAGAGACTGGAATTTTTTCATTTTGTACTAAAATTAATTTATTTTTCCGCGAAATTTATTTAAGTAGGTACCTCGTGACGCTTTAAAAATATAATAATTAATATTTATATTATGAAACGCCCCTATATTTCCTTTAAACAATTATGGGGGCGAAAGGAACAAAAATGTAGGTTATATTTTGCACAGTTTTTCCTTGATGTAAAATTCAGTTCATTATTTTAAGGCAAAATAAAATTTTATTAAGTATTTTCTAAACTGAATGATTGATAATGTATGCTTTGGTGCTTTTGGGTTAATTTGTCGCCTTTCGCTTATTTTTTTATTCAGTAAAGTGGGTAAAGTGTAAAAAATTTAGGTTAGGTCCACAGGGGAATTACATATATTTTAAGTTTTTAACACAGTAGCGCCACCAGTTGGAACTAAAGCAATGGCGCCAAAATTCAAAATGAAATGTAGAATTTTTTCTACATTAATTTATTATTTTATAAAATTAATTTTAAATACATTTGTTTTATTAAATTAATTGTCATATATGCCAAGAGGGAAAAAAAGGCTTAGCTACATTTTCACTCTTAAATGAGAAAAAGTAATAAAATTTTCAAAAGTAGAAAAAAATTTGAAATAGAAAAACTTTGTTTTTAAGTTTGAAGACGATTCATTGATAAATGATGATAAATAAATAATAACGGTAGAATAATTAATTAGCAATGAATACAATATAAAGTGAAATAAATTTATAACACCGCAGGAATATATATATATATAAATTATATTCTGACCTGATAAAAGTAGGAGTAAAATTCAGTTCCACTTAAAATAAGTGCATAATTATTCAAAAGGATCTCTATATAATAATTTGCAAGTTAATTATAAAACACAACTCCACCGGTTTTATATTGTATTGAAGAAACAACCATTGTCTGCGGGTTTTTTTCATAATCTCGCACGGCCAAAGAAACGTCTTATTTAAAGCGCATAAATTATTTCCCCCATTGAATACCTATTTATCAAGAACAACAGTCCATAGATTTACTGCAGGTTCAATATATATACACATAGAGTTTCCTCTATTTTAAACTTATACATATTTTATTCGTGCCAAATGATTATATATTGTATGTTTCATATTATACAAAATTATATTATATACAAAATATTATATTATGCATTTTATTATTTTATATTTTATTTATTTTTATTTTATATACTATTTATTATTTATATAATGTATATTGTAAAATGTATTCTGTATATTATATATTGTATATTTTGTATTATATACATTATCATATACCTAAAAGAAGGAAAGCTTTTTAAAAAACGAAAAAATTATTACACATTAATATTAAATAGAAAAACTGCGATTTCTGAAGTAATTAAAACTATTTTTATTTTTAGAATAAAAACTAAATTTTGAGACTCGCTTTGAGATGAAGTAGAAAATTAACGTTTATTATTATTTTATTATTTATTTATTAATAATTGTCATTATTAACATTAATTATAAATAATAATATATTCTATTGTTAATAAAATAGTATATTTATTTTATATATTATTATTATTATTATTATTTGTAATGAATGTTAATAATGATAATTATAAAATAGAAAGATAATGGTGGTAATAAGAAAGAGTATGAGAAATAAAAAAAAAATGATTGTACAAAGCTGTCTTTACTTGAGAAAGAAATTGGTCCAAAGTACGCACCGCGTGTGTTATAAAAAAAGAATAAATCACTGAATGTGTGGAATCACTGGCACAGAATTTTCCTGTTGTCACTTGTGACCTCCTTCTTTTAGGCAGAGCAAAAACGCCGCATAAAAAATGGAATATTATTTCCGGTTGGCGAATATTATTAACAAGGTACGAGAAATAAAATTTATTTTCTGTACCTGTTGTCACTGGCAAGGTGGATGTTGCACTTTTGTCACAATCAGTTTTTTTGTTCCTTTTTTTTTGTTTTGTTAATTTCACTTTTCACACACGAAGCAGAGACGAGAGGAGAGTGTGAAAATAATAATTGGTAAAAATTAACAAATAACAACAACAAGAATAAAAACAAAATAACAAAAACACCGGGAGGGATTTTTTGATGTCGGGCGAAAAACAAATGATTGTCGAAAAATCACTCTTAACCGGAGTGGAAAAATGGACCTTATATGTTATGTTATGTTATGTTATGTTATGTTATGTTACTGAGTGTGATGCGGTGCACAACTTTTGAAACCGTATATTGTTGTAACGTTGTAAACGCGATGGGTTCGGAGTTCGAGTCCGACTGCGGCTTCACGTAGGAGGGGTCCTGCCTATGAGTCCCCGCTAGTCCCACTTACCAACCAACCAGATACCGCGACTACCGGTGGAATCCTAGTCAGCATCTCCGCCAATCCTCCTCCGGACCAGAAAGTGCTCCTCGTCGGCTGGCTTTCCGGTACGTTGATTACGTTCTCCGCGCGAGGAGCACCAACAACAACAACAATAACGCGTATCACACAACCTTGAGAAAAACTCTACACACTATAGGCAAGGACCTTTTTTCCTTTAAATCTTTCCAAGGAAAAAAAGATTCACTTTTCATTATAAAAACATTGAAATTCAATTTCTATAGTGGTTCTGGAACATTTTCTATTTTACTATGGCAATTTAAGGGTGGATGACTTTTTCTTTTCATTCAAAAACACTCGGGCTCCGGATATAGTTTGGAATTGTATTTTTCCGGCTGCTGTGTGTTTTTATCTTTTTATTTTCACTAAACTTCAATACATTCAGAAATTAAAATATTTTTTCATTCTTTTATTAATTCACAATTAATTAGTTTAACTAATTAACGTTATTCATTAAATATAAGGAATTGAATAATTAAATTATTCTGAAAGTAAATTATTTTTCATTAAAGAGTAATTAACAATTAAATTAAGTACAATTAAATTAATTAAAAACTAAATTAATGTTAATTAAAACGTAATTAACAATTAAATTCATTAAAAAGTAATTAATAACTAAATGAAATAAAAAGTTATTAATAGACAAATTAATTAAAAATGAATTATTTTCATTCAAAAAGTAATTAACAATTAAATTAATAACTATAAAATATAATTAACAATTAAATTAATAACTATAAAATGTAATTAACAATTAAATTAATAACTGTGGAATGTGATTAACAATTAACTTAATTAAAAAGTAATTAACTTAAATGTAATTAATAATTGAATTAATTAATACGGTGAAAAAAATGTTGTTTGATTCAAACCCAAGTGCGAAAACCAACGCGGCCCAACACTGGCCCAGTATTGGCAAAGCTGGCATCGAGACTTGGCAGACAATATTGGCCCGACTTTGCGCCGACTCTTGTGGTGTTAACCGCGGTTGGACGTCGGCAGCCAGATCTCGGCAGACATTAATGGCCCAATATTGGCAGCCATATCTCGGCAGACATTAATGGCCCATTATTGGCAGCTAGATCTCAGCAGACATTAATGGCCCAGTATTGGCTGACATTACTCCCCCAGTGTAGACAAAATTAGAAAAAAATAAAAATAAATTTTTTTTTATTTAATTAACTAATTAATTTATAACATTTATACGGCTTATTTCCCTAAATTAAACGCAAACTTACAAATATTTGAAAAATTCTTACCTCTTGCGGGGATCGATACCTGAACCTGACGCACCACAGCCTAACACTCTGACCACTCTGCTACTCTGACTTGAAGTCGAGGAAGCAAAAGGGTTCTTATAAGCTACACTACACTGGCCGATACTGTGCCATTATTGGGCCGAGCTACGTCCCAATTTTGGCAATTATAATTTGCCATCATAGATACAAAATGATAGACATTAATGTGCTATTCCTGGGCCAAGCTACACCCCAATACTGGCAATTATAATTTGCCATGAAAGATACAAATTTTTTGCCATTAAAGTGCCAATAATGTGCTATAATGTCCGATCTTTGTGACATCACTGGCAATTAAATTTTGCCATTAAAGATTGATCAACTTTGCCAATATTGTGCCGTTATTGAGCCAAGCTACTCCCCAATACTGGTAATTATAATTTGCCATGAACGATACAAATTTTTTGCCATTAAAGTGCCATTAATGTGCCTTTAATGGGCCAATCTTCGTCACATCATTGGCAATTGAATTTCAAAAAATTTTAATATCAAAATTCATGGCATATTTTTAATATTTAATTATTATCTAAAAATTTGACTAGAATCCATTTTGAAATCAATTTTTACTAGAAAATTCTACAAGAATTTAATTATTTAAATGCAAAAATAAATAATTTATTGAATAACTAAATGTTTCTTAAAATTGAATTATGAGAATTAAATTTTAAAAAACATTCATTTATTCAATAAATTTTCTTAAGGAAATAATTTGCATCATTTTTATTTCTTAATTACAATTGCTTTAAGAAAAATTCAAAGATTTTTAAAAAATAAAGGAAAAAAATGTTTATAAATTCTATTTGTCAATTGCAAATATTAATTGAAAGTGAAATTGAAAATTTCTTAATTTTTAGATAATAAAGGAAAAATTTTACTCAAAAAAAGGTTTCTGTTACATTTATTTACGAATTTCTTTAATTGTAAAATTATTTGAAAACATTAATAACTTCTTTTTTAAATTAATACTTAATTAAACATTTTCAAAAAAATTAATTCTTTAAAATTAACAGTTAAAAATATAGAAAATTCAAAGTTTCAAATATTTTAATTTGAATCCTTTTCAAGCTTATTCAATTATTTAAATACAAAATAAATAATTTATTGAATAACTTAATGTTTCTTAAAATTAAATTCTTATAAAAAATTTTACCAAATTAAAATGCCATTAATGTACCTTTAATGGGCCGATCTTCGTCACATTACTGTCAATTGTCTTTTGCCATTAAAGATTGATCAACTTTGCCGTGAATGTGCCGTTATTGGGCCAAGCTACGCCCCAATACTGGCAATTATAATTTGCCATCAAAGATACAAAATGTTTGCCATTAAAGTGCCACTAATGTGCCATTAATGGTCCGATCTTCGTGACATCACTGGCAATTGAATTTTGCCATTAAAGATTGATCAACTTTGCCAATATTGTGCCGTTATTGAGCCAAGCTACTCCCCAATACTGGTAATTATAATTTGCCATGAACGATACAAATTTTTTGCCATTAAAGTGCCAATAATGAGCCATTACTGGGCCGATGGTCGGCGCATCACTGGCAATTGTCTTTTGCCATTAAACATTGATAAACTTTGCCATGAATGTGCTATTATTGGGCCGAGAGCTGGCCCAGTCTTAAAAAATTTGAAATTGTGACCATCAGCGCCATCATTGGCCCAGTAATGGGACGTTTTGGACACCAATAATGGCCCAGTAACTACTGCCAATTCTCGGCAGACATTACTGCACCAATGATGGGCCGTTTTTGCAGTCTTGGCATTTCGCACTTGGGAATAAACTGTTTATTTATTTCGAAATTAAAGAATATATATTCGCCTCTCAATCAGCAATTTTTGACTAAGTAACTTAAAGTTTTCTACTGCTTGACCTATTTTTATAAATTCCTTAAGGATCTCTTAACCGCTTGACATACAACTTTTAATCTAAGTTTGATACTTATTTTAAAATGTGACATTCAATTTTGACTAAATTTGCATTTTTTTGCCTTTTGACAAAAACCTAACTTTCTTCCCCCCTAAAGGGGGTATATGTGTATTTGTTTTTCCTATTTTAATTATGTTAATGACTTTCCACTATAATATAATTTAAATTTAGAACTTTAGAGAAATTGAGATTTAGATTAAAACAAAAAAAAAAGGTTTTGATGGAGAGATTATATAGTGAAAAGAAAAAAGAAAGGATAAAAATTAGGGCGTTAAGCGGCTCATATAGTGAAAAAGGGAAAACACAATGTAAAATAAATGATAATGATTAAAATAATGATAATAATAATAATAATGGTAATAGGAGGAATAATAATAAGGGGCCGAGAGGTGCCGCGTGCCGATGCACTAGGCATGTGCCCCCGCGGTCAGACAAATATACAAGACAATTTATGTAAAGCGGAAGTGAGAATAAGAAGACCGTTGAATGGTAAAACGTGTGGTATCAAGTGTGCGCGGCGGTGGCAATGGCGCGTCGCGCACTCAATCGCGATTTACGGTAGGTCGTGCGTCTACTCACTCGCAACGGTTTTTGTCTACGGATATCTTACAGTCCCTGAATCTTTTTTTTTCTTTTTTTTTCTCTTCCCTCACTTTTTTTTTTTTGTTGTTGCGGGGGAGCAACAATCTCACGAGAATTCCCTCGAGGCCGCGTGATCGGCGAGAAAATCGCGCTTGTATTTTACACCATTTTCTTTTATGTATATATATATACGCGAAAGCAAAACGGCAGCAAATTTTTTAGAAAAAAATTAGTGCAATAACAATTATATCAAAAATGATAATAAAAACGACAATTAAAACAATAAACAGAACACTAACAATAAAAACAAAAGTTAACACTAATAACAATAAAAATAATAAACATAACAATATTGTCAAAAACATTAGTAAAAACAACAATAATGACAAAAAATTTTAAAAATTATAATCAAATTCTTTAAAACGATTCAATTATTTTCAAAAAATATTCAAAGTTCAATTATATTTTCGATATCTATGTATTTTTTCATAAAATTTCGCAAAAGAATTAAATTATTTTTTTAAAAAATTGACAAAATTCAATTATTTTCATAAATAATAAAATTTCCACAGGGATTCAAGTAATTTATAATAACATTTTCAAAAAAATTTCGAAAAAATGAATTATTCATAACAAAATTTTTATTCAATTCTTCACAATAATTCAATTACTTTCACTAATAATAACATTTTTCATGTCAATTCAATTTTTTAATAAAACTCTAATCAAGAATTTAATTATTTTCATAAATAATAAAACTCATCGAAGAATTTCAATTTTATTTTTCATACTATTTTAAATTATTTAATCGAAAAATTCAATTATTTTCACAAATATATATATATAGTTTTTCAGAAGAATTCAATTATTTTTAATACAATTTTACACGAATTGCTCAAAAAATATAATTATTCTTAAAAATTTGATTTCAATTTGTCGAAAAAATCAATTATTTAAAAAAAAAATTTTTTTTTAATTCTTTGAGAGAATTCAATTATTTACAAAATTATTAGAATTTTTCACAGGAATTCAATTATTTTCAAATATTTTAATAAAATTGTTCCAAATAAATCAATTATTTTTATAAATAACAATATATTCATCAGAAGAAT